GATATTATATAGTTATTAAATTTTTTAATTAAATGAAACAATTACGCACTGGTAACACACCCAGCATGCTGTAAACATTTGAAATATCCAATAACGAATCTATTGTCACTTTGTTTTGGTGTGTGGCAATATCAACCCACAATTGTAAATGTTCTAAACTATTTTGATTGAATTTATCGCAAATGGTAGTCCATAAATTGCTATTATTATCAATTGTGCAACAATTCTTCAAATGGGGGCATAAAGTGATCATTGCCTGTAAAAGTCTTGAAGCTATCAGTAATCGTTTTGATTCATTGTTGGTATCTTCTGTGGATTTTAAATTTTCTCTCATAAAATTAATAAATCTGAAAGTAATGTACAATTCATTTTCTAAGTACATAAAATAAATATGAAGAAAAGGACCTTTCCATGTTCTGTTCGCATTCTTTTTTCATATGTTGTTCCATTCGTCTTCTATCGACGATCTCTTTGCCTAAAGAAATTTGATTATGTTCGGTTATAGAAATTTCCCTTTTTTCATTGACTTTATACAAGTACATATTGACTTCCTCGTTAATTTCAGAAAATTTAAAATCGAAATTCCGACAAAGATTCATTATTCCGATATTGTAGCCCTTCATTTTCATAAATAATGCTGAAATCTTGTAATGTTAACAGTTATTTTTTTTTTAATATCATTTTAAAATTACTGATTTTGTTTGCATCGTCTTGCGCGCTACTACTGCAATCATCATTTTCTTCCCAAATATTTAAACTGCTTTTAATACTTTCAGTTTCCTTAAAAAGTTCAACCGCTTGATCTTGAAGTTCATCAATAATTTTAGAAATATTTTTAGTGACTAATTCTTCAGCTCTTGTAGTTATCAGTCCTTCAAAGTAATATGACCAGATGTTAAAATTTTCTGATAAATTCATTTCCAAACAAACGTCTTTCCAATTTTGAGGTAGACTATCTTTGAGGATTTCTTCACGAATAAAATGCAAGCTCTTTATGTTAACTAATAATTTTAGCTGTTTTTCTAAACCATCCTGTAGTAATTTTCGGGNAATTGCAGGAGTGCTATGCTTGATTTCCAGTCAAGTCCGATATAAAATGCTGGTGTATTGGGGTGTGAATATAAGAGAGTTGCACATTAACTTATGGAGACCGTGGACCACATTAAGAGAGGAACTCTCCAAAAACGTTTTTTTAAACGGACATTATCAACAAGTGGGCTTTTCTTCCACGTACGTTTAAATTTTTGTTAATTGGTTAACGATCACACTAATTTCGGTCACAAGCAATTTAATTTACCTTTTTTGGTTTGAGCTGTAGATATTATTTCAATTTTTTTCACTTAAACGAAAATATATTGATTTATTATTGAATTTCCAACCCGTTTGTATTTTATAATTGCATATATTTTTTTTTTCAGAAGAGACCCACATGCGGATGAGGTACTTACTTTAAGCCTACCAGATACACAATTAGACCTAGGTACACCGCCGCGTCTTTGCTATCCCCTGGTAATCTTTTTAATTAGAGTTGAAGACTCCGGAGCCATACATCCCGATGAAACGGTAAACATTAAAAAACAATTTAATTACTGTAGATTTCTCGTAGTCAATTAAAAATTAATAGTTACGATTTCAAAAGAAGTATTAAATTATTCTTGAAAACGTTTCTTTTAAATTAATTTGTCAACTTTATAGATTTTGCAATTTATTTCTTAATATTAGAAACATTAATTTATTATCCCATGGCATTTAATTAAATTATTTTTAGGTGTCATTAATTAATGTCGTCCATATCAGAGATTCTGTTTGCACCCTGCCCACCAGTGTTTTAGCTCAGTATCTGAAACAGGCCAACGGACAGTTGTCTTGCCTAAAGGTAAAACAAATAAACTTTGTATGAGCACATTTCCAAACATTTTATGTAATGAAGTCTCTAAAATACAAGATGTAACTTTAATAAAGATTGATTTTGGTTTTTTCTTCTTTAAGCAACTGTACTTAGCTACAGGCAATCCAGGCAATTACGAAGATAGTCAAATACCATTAGCGGTAGCAGAGCCTGTAGGGGGCGGGCATCCAGATGCTATGGGACGAACGCTGCTTTGTCCCACGAGAGACGACACAGCCATTTGGAATACAAGTGGTGAACAATTGTGCGTTGTTTGTCAGTATTTCCCCCTTTCAAGGGCCCTATTACCCTGCAGGTACGGTACATATTAAAATATCTACTGTTTTTTATTTATAATAATTAAAAATGTTTTTGGCAGTACAATATATGATATTATTTTCAGACATACATGCATTTGTGCAAGCTGTTTCGACAGATTAGATCGTTGTCCAATGTGCAGGGGGCCCATAAAAAGTTACTTCTGCATCCGGGGTGAAGAATACATGCCCATAGAGGCGGAAATAAAAAACGGTACCCAAGATCCCGTCCATGGACCTTTGTATAATTGGCTGGACAGTTGGAACGACCGTCTGATAGACTTCCTTGGCTTTCAAAGGTAATGTTCAACATCTTGACGTGTTTTGATTTTTTTTGTTTATAAATTTCCTCGTTCCTTTTATTTCGTCCTTCTTTCTATAAAGATATATATGTATATACGTATGCATACAATAGTTTGCCGTCCTTATAAACGGCCCTAAAATTTCGTATAGTTATTAGCAATTATTTATTATGAACATTACGCGTAAATAATGGCTCTTTATTAATTTATTTTTGTACGTCAGTGCAATATAACCAAAAGTTATTAATGTATCTGGTAACATAGTCCCTGCTCTTCAAAGAATTTGCATCGCATAGGTAACAATCAGTTTTTTTTTTATAATCAAACAAAAAATATTTACCAATGAATGTAGAAAGTGCCATTAATCAAAATTTAATCTAAAATATTTGAAAAAAATAAAGTTGAAATTCTTTTTAAAACGATTTAAGCAAAATTGTATTATTTTGGGGCTACATTAAAAAAAAACAATAATTGGAAAACATTGGTAAATATAAATTAATTCGTAATTAATAAAAAATTACTGATAAATTACGTAAAAACGCAGTATTATTGACGAACACTGCAAATTTATATTTTTTTATTGTAAAATAAGAAATATAATTAATTAATTAATAAAAAAAAAGAAGTAAAATTACCT